GTGGTCTAGAACTTATAATCCTCTGCCTTAGCCTCCTAAATAGCTAGAATTACAGGCATGAGCCACATCACCAAGCTGGATCATAAATTTTCTTTTTTTTTTTTTTGGTGGAACTGGGGATTGAACTCAGACCCTTGCACTTGCCAGGGAAGCACTTATTCCACTGAGCCATCTCCCCAGCCTGGATCATAAATTTTAAGTGAAAACTTTACAAATCATTTTGACACATACGGATGGCAAGAGTTTGGGTGGTTCTTGGAGGCCTACAATTCCAAAGAAACACCATTATCCTCCCTTTTTAATTTACACTTCCTACTATAGCATAGAACTGTCACCTAATCTAATTCAAGCTAGGATCCCTCTTTTCTAGTCTTTTTCTCCTATCTCACTATTTTTTATTAGTGCAGTACATGTTTGTAGTACACAGCATTTCATTCCTGTGTGGGGCTGGTAGAGAACACATCTTTTTTTTTTCTTAATGTATTTGGTAGAGGGTCTTACTATGCAGCTCAGACTTCCCAGTGCTGGGATTACAGGCACGTGCCACTTCTCCCAGACTCTGTGGCTGGCTCAGCCTGCCCTGGGGGCAGGGCTGGCATGGCACGTGGTGCTAGGGATCAAACTGCAGTCCCTAAGCTTATCTAAGCAGGCTTAGTGTTAGTCTGCTGAGCTATCTCATTGGCCCCCTCTTTTCTAGTCTTCATCACTAATTTGCCCCTTAAGCTTCACAAAGTTTAGTTAAAGAAACACTTAGTACTACTCACTGGCCCTCCAACCTCACCTTGTATGACTCTTCCTTGTGCAATCTGCACTCCAATTATACGGAATCACCCGATATCATGCTTTTTCATACCTCTGTGCTTTCACCAATGGCACTGTTTCTTTTTTTTTTTAAATTTTTTTTAAATTTGTGTGTGTGTGTGTGTGTGTGTGTGTGTGTGTGTGGCCAGCTCAGCCCACCAGGGGGCAGAGCTGGCTGGCATGTGGTGCTGGAGGATTTAACTGCGGTCCCTGTGCTTTGCTAAGCTTGTTCAAAGTAGGTGCTTTAGACCACTGAGCCATCTCACCAGCCCAGCACTGTTTCTTGTAAGGACACTTTTTTTTTTTTTCTTGCAGAACCGGGAATTAAACTCAGGCCCTTGCACTTGCCAAGCAAGTGCTTATTCTACTGGGCCATCTCCCTGGCCTTTATGGTACAGGGTCTTACTACGTAGATCGGACTCACAGTGATCTTCCTGTTTTCAATCTCCCAAGTACTGAGATCACAAGCGCATGCCACCACAGTCTTCTTTCTACTTGGCAAACTTTGGGATTCAGTCTAGAAGTCAAACTCCTTAGAAAAGCCTCCCTGGTGTGCTTCCCCCACTCCTGTAGAAATGTGGTGTCCCCCTGTGCTCTGATAGCATCGAGCTCACTTAACAGGAGATACTCTGCAGTAACTGAGTCTATCCCTCTTTTCTTTTGTGTGTGTGTGTGTGTGTGTGTGTGTGTGTGTGTGTGTAACCTGGGATTGAACTCAGGCCCTTGTACTTGCCAGGCAAGTGCTTATTCCACTGAGCCATCTCCCTGGCCCCTATCCCTCTTGAACTCAACTGCCCTTTGCAATATCTCCTCTATCGATTTTTCCTTTTTTTTTTTTTTTTTGCGGAACCAGGGATTGAACTCAGGCCCTTGTGCTTACCAGGCAAGCGCTTATTCTACTGAGCCATCTCCCTGGCCCCTATCGATTTCTTTTGACTGGCAGTGAAGTCCACAGCAGACGTTCAGTAACTATTTGATGAAAAAAATAAATGCTAACCTGATTTTTTTTTTCTGTATTTATGACAGGGTCTACAGGGTCTCACTACATAGATCGGACTCGTAATGATTCTCCTGTTTTCAGCCTCCCAAGTTCTAGGATTACAGGCATGCACCACCATGTCCAGTCTCAATCCTGGCCTCAGCACACCCTGCAGGCGGTGCCGGCATAGCATGCCAGGAATCAAACCCCAGCCACTGCGCTTTGCCTAAGCAGGAACTTTAGACCACTGAGCTATCAGGCCAGCCCTAACCTGAAGTTTTTAAAGTTGCCTGGCTCCTTTTCATCAGGCCAAGTCCAAGTACTACGAATAAGAAATTAGATGGAAATAGTTTCTGGAAGGGGCAAGAGTAAAGTGGAGCCTTGAATTAAAAGACCAAGAGATCAAAGATGGTTACCTGTGTGTATCCTCACATGGTTTTTATAGTTGGTTGCGCTGGCAAATGCTCTCCCACATCCTGGCTCTGTGCAGTAATAAGGTCTTTCTCCTGTGTGCGTCCTAACATGCACTTTTCTGATATTTGATGTCGTAAAGGACCGACCGCAACCTTCAAAGGGACACTTAAAAGGTCTTTCTCCTAGAAATACAAAGGGGAATAATTTTTTTTTTTTTTTTTTGCGGAACAGGGGATTGAACTCAGAACTTTGCGCTTGCCAGGGAAGCACTTATTCTACTGAGCCATCTCCCCGGCCCCAAAGGGGAATACATTAAACAGTGCAGAACTATATAGAAAATTGAAACATCTTATGGTTTCTCTTCTTCCTAGGATTATGCTCAAGGACTCAAACCTGTTCTAGTGCTGAGATTCCCTTTAATGCATCTTTAACTCCAAACTTAAATTTACATAAGAAAACCCATATTCAAAACTCATTTTGATTATGTGAGTTTTTCTGTCATGTTGAAAACATGCTAGGCTGGCTGGGCGTGGTGGCACAGGCCTAAAAAATCTCAAGCTGGGCGTGTTTGTTGGAACTACTCAGAGGCTGAGACAGAACTACCTGAGCCCAGGAATTTGAGCATGGCTTAGAAAACAGTGAGACTCCTTGAAAAAAACTGAGAAAGAAGCATAAAAGAAAAATAGATGGGGCCGGGGAGAGAGCTCAGTGGAATAAGCACTTCCCAGCAAGCGCAAGGGCCTGAGTTCAATCCCCAGTTCCGAAAAAAAAAAAGAAAAGAAAACTAGAAGCCATGCATGGTGGTGCATGCCTGAATTTCAGCACTCAGGAAGCAGAAGCAGGAGGGTCACTGTAAGCTTAAGACCAGCCTGGGCTACAAAGTGAAATGCATAGTGAGACCCTGTC